CGCATCGAGGCACCACTTCTCCGTCCATCCTGAGGCCGAGTCCCACATACAGCAACTAGAAGGATGTGCAGCTATGACATGCAACTATCTGCTGGGGCTTTGGGGGGAAAAAATAAAATAAATAAAATCTTTAAAAAAAAAAACAAAAAAACATGATACATGAAATGACGAATATGTGCAGGGGGCATTAGGGGGCACAAGAAGGGTCACTAACCCAGGGAATCCACAATAACAGCTACAGAATAGATAGCTGATCTCATTCTCAAGGTCGACATTTGTGAAAGATATCAATTTAATATAAATTTACATACAAATTTGACATATGTTCACATTTCATTTTTCTGGCACTCGACATTATTTTAGTTAAGAAAGAGAAAGGAAGTGGCATTTGTGAACTAGCCTGATTTTCACATGTCCCAATTCCCACTCCACCCACTTAAATCCTACAATGCTTCCCTAAGCCGATTTTATTATTTTTTATGTGTGATACGCAGTTTTTGACAACGGAGGGTGTCAAAACCCCCCTCAACGCAGGGGACATTATGGTCAGCTGCTCTTATATCAATTCCACTCCTTCCTCTGTGTGGTAGCCACCTGGTTTAGGTGGGAGGGACCCGACCCCAGCTTTAGAGGTGAGCGTGCAGGGGTCTAAGCTAATCAGTGTGTGCCTATGGCCACTATGATGGGTTCAGGGATGGGCAATTAACCCATGCCAGTCACCTAACCTCTGCAAGACAGCAGAGCCAAGAGAACCACAGACAAACAAAACTGTAGCTTTGATGATCTCATGAGTCCCTAGAGCAAACCATACCTGAAGAGCACCCAACTATTAGACTTTTCAATTATACGAACCCATAAAGCTACTTTATAGTTTAAGCCAGTGTGAGTGGCAACCAAACGAATATGAACTGATACAAAGTGAGTCACTGAAACGCATCTTTCTCAATAGGGGTACCTGGATTTTATAGATATGCGGCTCTCCGCTCTTTAGTAACTCATACCTCTTTATTAACGCACACATGTAGTGGGAAGGGCTAATATATTTCCCATGGGACAGCCCAGGTCCCTGTGACTCTAGATAGCTGGGAATGAAGGGCTGGAGCCAGGGGGTCCCCTAAATCCTAGCCCTGGCCTCTCCTTTCAAAGGCCACAGATTCCTGGCTTTCTCCTGCTTCCTCCTCCACCTCCTAGGGCGATCTAGAATTTCTTGGGTAGTTAATGCGCTAGAGATAATCCCAAGTAAAACCTCCCAGGAAACTGCCCCTGAGAAACAATGAGAAATTCTTAGTCCTCACCTTTGGGGCATTCACTGGGCCTCTCACATTTCTAGAGGTTAAACCAAGCAAGGGAAGTTTACAGAGTTCTGGTTTCTTGGCTTACTTGGTTTCTTGGAGCTGAGCCCACATGGAACGATCTTTTTAAGCATCTCCGAGTGCCTTGTGACCTGCCCACCAAGTCTGGGAAACACGAGCACAACAGGGAAGGCCCCAGGGGAGGCAGCAGGAACTCCGACAAACACAGAGGATACAGGTGCAGAGAAACTGTGCTCAGCTTGGACCTTCAAACCCTCAGAGTCATTTTCTCCCTCATCCTCAACTCCCAGTCCAGCTTTCTCTGGAGGACGGCTCAGACACTGCCACACCCGACCCTTTGTCACCTGAGGCTCTCTCCACCTCTCCTGTCCAATCCATCCTCCTGCACACACACCATAACCTGCACATTGTCCCTTGGAGGCCACCTTCACCCCATGCCTGCTCAAGAGCCCACCATGGCCCCTCGGAGGAACCAGGGCCCTTAGTCTGACCTTCAAGGTCCTCTTCAAAGACCTGTCCGATCCCCAGTCCCCACAGCTCCTCATTTTTGACTGCTGCCCAGTACATGCACATAGTAACCAGTCTGTTCACCAGCCCAGCCTAAGGCCTGCCTACTCCTCCTGTCAATCACTGACAACCACACAAGTGCCTGGAGAGCATATGTGAATCAAGGGACCTCCCCCTGCCCCAACCCTGGACCAGCTGCTCCTCCCAGGGCAATAAAATAGCTCTTTATTGATTTGTTTACTCTCTTGTCCTCCCTCTTCCCCAAAGGAGCTTACAACCCCATGAGGGCACTGGTCTCATCACAGAGAATCTCAGCACTTGGAAAAATGCCTGGGGTAGAGTTGGGTGAGTTATTTGTTAATAGTCATTAGGAAGACAGATCCCACGAGAATCTCTTTGGCTCACTTCCTAAAACTTCACCAACTAAACCAGCACCGGGTTTTCCAGTCTCCGTCTGTTGACAGTGCATTATCCCTTCATCCCTGCCTCGTCTCAGTGTTCCACTAGATAAACTCTTAATCACCAAAGTTTGATTTCTTAATAACAAAAATGCACCTTTTCCTTAATGTCTATGATTTTGCTTTCACTCCCTGAGAAGTGACATCTTTTTTCCCCTAAGGGGAGTTTAGCTTCCAAACTGCTAAACCTCTGTCATCCTCCCCGAGGCCATTTCTTTTGGAAGAAGTCTGTGGTTGCCGGTATCACCACAGAATTAGATAGTGGTTCTCTAACATCTGGCAGCTTCTACACTTGCATCTGCCATTCTAGTACCAATCCAGTTCTCTCCTTTCTCAACCTTTGTCCACTTTAAACTTAGCTCCCCAGTCACCTCCTTCCTCGTGCCTTCCTGGTTCATATCACTCCTCGACCTGTTCATTTCAGTTCAAAGGGCTCCGTCTACCCTCTGCACATAACCACTACAGAACTCCAGTTCATGACCACAGCCCCAGTCGGTCCCGAGCTAAGTTCCCGTGTCCTTCACTTTTTGCCCAACGTCTCCCCATCCCCAGCTTCTCCGTCCCGGTGCGCACTCCCGCCCTCCGGTCGCGAGGCGCCGCTGGGTTACCTGGAGCTGGTGCAAGCGCAGAATGTAGCCTTGCCCTAACATCTGGAATAAGACGCGCAGCTGCCCTGGCCCTTTAAGCTCCTCCAGGCTCCGCAGCCTCCGCTCGCCAGGCCCGGTTCCGGGAGCCTCGGAAGAATCGGTCGCCGGGAGGGCGCCGGGGATCGTGGCCTTGGCTCTGGCTCCTGGTGGGCCGAGGCCAGAGCGGACTACCCGCGTCCCCAGCAGCGCCCACCGCATCCTCGCGCAGCCCAGCGCAGCCATGGCTCGCACCGCCACGCCTTTGGGTCGCGAGCGCAGAGCGCCTGGATCCCGCCGGAGACAGATCAGGAGGGGCGGGCTCCAAGGCACCGGTAGCCCGGGGTGGGGCGGGCGAAGCCGGCCAGTCCCCTTACTGCTCACTTTTCCTCTCGGTCTCAGTCCCTCCACACAGGACCTGACGAACACACAGAAGCCGCCTTCTCCAACTGTCCGCCTCCCGGTGCAGGAAGGATCCGGCCAACGCAAAGGCAGCAGATGCACAGGGGCACTTAGGGAGCCCCACAGAGCTCGGACGATGGCGCCTCGCCCGCGGCTCCCCACCTCACACTGCCGCGAGCTCCCAAGCAGAACCCGAAGTCCGCTTGGTCTGCACTCGGAGCAGGAGGGCCGCAAAGTTCTCGCCAGCCTGGGAGGCTGCCAAGGTCCAGAGGCCCCACCCAGAGAGGCCGGCCCTCCCCCGACCTGCCGGCTCGCCGCCCCAGAGCGCCATAGCCCAGTGGTCCTCGCCTTCCGCGGGGACGGACGCGGCAGCAGAAATTAAAGCGGCCGCTGGCTCATCCTAATGGCCCCGGGGATTGATCCCGGAGTCTGCGCGCTGAGCGAGGAGAGAGCAAAACAAAAACGTGGCCCAGATTCCAAAGTCATCTGATTCCTGGAGCGGGGGAGACAAACAAATAGGCAAAGAAATTTAAATATTAGGGCTTTTTTATTTGTAATTCTCTCTTTTTTGTTGTTGTTGAGGAAGATCTGCCCTGAGCTAACATCTGTGCCAATCTTCCTCTATTTTCTATGGCTGACGAGTGGTGTAGGTCTGAGCCTGGCATCGAACCTGCAAATCCAAGCCACAGAAGCGGGGCTGTGCAGAATTTAACCACTACACCACTGGGCAGCCCCTAAATATTAGGGTTTTTAAATTCAGTCCTACCCCTCCTCCCTCCCCACCTCACACACACTCCCAAGTCTGCTAAAGCAGGGTTTTCAAACTGCAGGTTGAGACCAGATTTAGTGAGTGTGACCAGAATTATTTTTTAATAAGATGGAAAAGAACAAAATAGTACAGATAATATTGCAAGAAGAAAAAGTATCATTTCATGAATGCTTTGTTTCATATAACCCTTTGTTTCAAAGCATAATTTTCAAAAAGTCAAAAACATGACTCAGTGGCCAGCCCAGTGGCTTAGTGGTTAAGGGTGCATGCTCCGCTACCGGCCGCCTGGGGTTGGGACCCCGGGCGTGCACGTAGGCACCGCTTCTCCGGCCATGCTGAGGCTGAGACCAACGTACAGCAACTAGAAGGATGTGCAGCTATGACATACAACTATCTACTGGGGCTTTGGGGGAAAAATAAATAAATAAAATTAAAAAAAAAAAACATGACTCATACAAATATAGAATAAACTGCAAGGTCAAAGATTATGCAACTCATTATTGAGGGAACACAGGATGATAAAGCTAAGAGCATTGGAAGAATGGGTTATTTACTGGCAGCCAGAGGGGAAAAGGGCATATTTAGTTCAAAGAGGCAATTAGACTGACAGCTGATGTGGCTAGGTGTGGTTTTCTTTTTGTTGATCCCAGTAGGGGGATCACAGAATTTCTTGAATCTGTGACTGAATATCTTTCATCAGTTTGGGGGGCTTTTCAGACATTATCTCTTCAAACATGGCTTCTATTCCATTCTTTTTCTACTCTCCTTCTAGGACTTCAAATTATACACGTTAGACCTTCTGACTGTATCTTTCCTGTCTTTTACTCTCTCTTCTGTATTTTTCTACATTTTTGTCTCTTCTAGCTCATTAATTCTCTATTCAGGTGTGTGTAGTCTGCTGTTAAATATATCCATTGAATTCTTAATTTTTATTATTGTATTTTTCAGTTTTCAATTTTGATTAGTTTTTTCAAATCTGTCATTTTCATATTTCTAGTTTTATACCAAAATTCTTAATTTTATCTTTTATTATCCCCTTTAATTTTGTAAGCATAGTTGTTTTAAGTATTATGACCAATAATTCAAATATCTGGAACCTATGTGCAACAATCTCTATTGTCCATTGTTTCTGGTGGATTTTGTTCATGTTGCCGTATTTCTTCCTGGGTTTAGTTACTTTTGTTTTTTTTGTGTGTGTGTCAGGAAGATCAGCCCTGAGCTAACATCCACGTCAATCCTCCTCTTTTTGCTGAGGAAGACCAGCCCTAGGCTAACATCTATTGCCAATCCTCCTCCATTTTTTTTTTTTTCCTTTTTCTCCCCAAAGTCCCAGTAGATAGTTGTAGGTCATAGTTGCACATCCTTCTAGTTGCTGTCTCTGGGACGCCGCCTCAGCATGGCTGGACAAGCGGTGCGTCAGTGCGCGCCCAGGATCCGAACCCAGGCCACCAGCAGCGGAGCGCACTCACTCAACCACTAAGCCACGGGCTGGCCACGGTTTAGTTACTTTTGATTGTGTGCCGGATAATGTATTCTTTAAGTTTCTGGTGGAACTAATTTGAGGTTTAGGATAATTTCATTTTCCTCAATGAAGATTTACCTTTGTCTGAAGCACTAGCAATCCAGGGTCACCTTAATTCAATTTGGGGAGTGAGATGCTTTGAGGCTGAGCTGCAGTCCTTTAGAAAGCTAGTCTATTTCCAGTCCTTAATCCTTTTGGGTCCCAACCTTAAGTCTGGGTATAAGATCATGGACTCCAGCTTTTCTTCACCCAGCCTGGTGAGGCTAAACCACCCAGCTTCTCAGCTTCCTCTGAAAATGAGAAATACCACTAACAGGAAAATGGTGCCAAATGCCTAACTTACCTCTGGATTCCTGTTTTCTCTTGGTTCTTGTCTGGTAATTCTTTATTACCTTGTTTGTTTTCTGATGCCAATGCCTTCAAGTAAATGCTTGTCATATTGTATTCAGCTTTTCAGGTTATCCCTAGAAAAAGAATTGAGTCCAGTATTAACAGAAGTGGAAATTCAATTTATGCCTTTATCGTTATTAATTCTTTTTCCCCCTCTGGCTTCATTTTCTTGATATTTTATATTTTTTACCCTTATTAAAAATTGATTGCTTAATGAAAATGTCTTATTTCCTAAGAAATGCATTTAATGCTATATATTTTCACATGATACTATTTCCAACAAGGTTCAATACACAATTTCTCTCATCATCATTTATTTCCCAATAGTTTGTAATTTCCATTTTGATTTCCTTTTTAATCTAAAAATCATATAGAAAGATGTTTTTATTTACTTGTAAATAGTTGGAGTTTTGTTTTTTATTTTGAAAAGGACTATACTTTTGTTATTAATTTAAAATGTTATTAACCCACACATCTATGGACAGCTAATCTTCAACAAAGGAGCCAAGAACATACAATGGAGAAAAGAAAGTCTCTTCAACAAATGGTGCTGGGAAAACTGGACAGCCACATGCAAAAAAATGAAAGTAGACCATTACCTTACACCATACACAAAAATTAACTCAAAATGGATTAAAGAATTTAAGACCTGAAACTATGAAACTTCTAGAAGAAAACACAGGCAGTACGCTCTTCGACATCGGTCTTAGCAACATATTTTCAAGCACCATGTCTGACTGGGCAAGAGAAACAATAGAAAAAATAAACAAATAGGACTACATCAAACTAAAAAGCTTCTGCACAGCAAAGGAAACCATCAACAAAACAAAAAGACAACCTAACGATTGGGAGAAGATATTTGCAAACCATACATCTGATAAGGGCTTAATCTCCAAAATATATAAAGAACTCATGCATCTCAACAACAAAAAACTAACAACCTGATCAAAAAATGGGCAGAGGAAATGAACAGACACTTCTCCAAAGAAGATATACAGATGGCCAATAGGCACATGAAAAGATGTTCAACATCACTAATCATCAGGGAAATGCAAATCAAAACAACGCTAAGATATCACCTCACACCCGTTAGAATGGCTATAATCACCAAGACAAAAAACAACAAATGTTGGAGAGGATGTGGAGAAACAGGAACCCTCATACACAGCTGGTGGGAATGCAAACTGGTGCAGCCTCTATGGAAAATGGTATGGAGATTCCTCAAAGAATTAAAAATAGAAATACCCTATGATCCAGCTATCCCACCACTGGGAATCTATCCAACGAACCTGAAATCAACAATCCAAAGAGGCTTATGAACTCCTATGTTCATTGCAGCATTATTCACTATAGCCAAGAAGTGGATGCAACCTAAGTGTCCCTCGACTGATGATTGGATCAAGAAGATGTAATATATATATAATGGAATACTACTCAGCCATAAAAAAAGACAAAATCGTCCCATTAGCAACAACATGGATGGGCCTGGAGGGTATTATGTTAAGTGAAATAAGCCAGAAAGAGAAAGACAAACACTATATGATCTCACTCATATGTGGAATATAAACCAACACATGGACAGAGAAAACTGTATTGTGGTTACCAGGGGCAATGGGGGTAGGGGGTGGGCAAAAGGGGTGAAGGGAGACATATGTATGGTGATGGACAAACAAAAATCTACAACCCAAAATTTCACAATGTTATAAACTATTAAAACATCAATTAAAAAAAAAAAAACAAGGTACAGAACAGTGTCATGGTAGGCTGCCATATAATTATTCCAGTGTTTGCACATGCACAGAATATCTCTGGAAGGATATACAAGAAACTTGATAGTATCTGTCTCAGGGACAAAGGTGGCAGGGATACAATTTTATAGCACACCCTTTTGGACTCTGAATTATGTAATACTTACATGTAATATCTAGTCTTTTCAAATGGTTTATTCAAAAGTCATATAGCAAGGACATTTTCTTTTGACTTTTCTGAAAATTTCTTTTCCAAAGTGATGTCTGGCTGTCTAGTAACTTGGTCACTTGGGTCCTTACCAGAGCCAAGAATTTTAGTGAAACCATAAATATATTAAAATAATTAAATTCTTACATATATATGGCACCTTATTTTTTCTTTCTTTTCTTATTTCTTTTCTATTTTTTTTGTGTGTGTGTGGGGGCGGATATCTAGAAAGAAGTATGTTGAGGAAAATGTATAATTGAAGACACCCATGAATTAAGTACAAGGACAAATAGTGTGCATAAAAATTGGTTTGAGATGTGAGAGTAGGTAAAAACTGGTCTGATTCTTTCTTTTGTTTGTCATACATTATCGTGACAAAAACTTTCCAAACCACCTGAAAGTACTGCATTGCTTTCAAA